GTCAAGCCTCTAATACAAACGGCTCGATCCTCCAGATACGGGAGGCGTCCGCTTCAAACAAAATCGCAGATGGGCAACAAGGAGTGTGTTATTTTCAAAGAACTAAATCTTTCAGTTGCCGCGCGTAGCACTCGGGCTGCCTGCGGCTGAAAAGCAGGTGATGGAGGTTTCATTTGGAACCAGAAGGGCTTCCAATAGGTACTTCTTCCTAATCACTTCTTACAGAGAGTTTAAAATGAAGGACACTTAATCATACTCTTACTTTATGTTCTTTTAATCATCAAATGATGGCTAATTAGTTATCATAGAATCAGAAAAACACTTGTGTGAAAGGAGAGTTCTGGAGACCGATGGTTCCTGGGACTGGACACCTGCAAAAGAGCTCATTTCAATTTCTCTGAGAGGAATCGATACACCCTTGCAGCTAATTAGTGATTTTTCTCCTTCCAGTCCCCAAAGTTTTTTCAAATGGCCCTTTGTCAGAAGAGAACCAAAAAGAAGATTTTTAGAGATGGGCTGCGTCTCGATTCCTTTGAAATCTAGTTTTTTTTCCTCCTAAGACGGAACCACAGAGAATGTACCAAATGTGTATCAGATCATTGCTTGGTCAGGTCGTTGATCCAAAGTGTGTTCAAAAGAAAACACCGCTTCTGCCTCTAACATTCCTCTTTTGTATCACACAAGCAAACAAGACAAATGGAAACATCTGCCCCCCGTTTTCACGGGGTATGGACCACACGGATCTCAGATAAGAATCTGCTGCTGAGCAGGAAGGTGACAACCGCGGGAGGGGCAGGGTCTCGTCCCCTCCCGAGACGGTCTGTCGGAAGCGAGGAGGAAGGAAGGAGGCACGGTCAGCGTGGAGCCCGCCGCGGGGCTCGAACCCACGAACTGTGAGGTCGTGACGCGAGCCGAAATCAAGAGTCAGGAGCCCGGCCACCTGAGCCACCTGGGCGCCCCACATCAGCCATTCTCCGGATAAGACGCGTGGCTGCAACCCGACAGAAATGCCTTCGACAGCGGGGAGGCGCGTGAGAAGTCACGAAGAGAAAGCAGCTGCGGGGGCTGGGGAGCTGGCCCTCTTGGGCCGCACGCGGCCAGGGGCGCAACAGGGGAGGGGCGCCTCCCAGCGCCTCGCCGGGAAGAGGCACGGGGCCGCCCTCCCCCGTGCACCCAGGCACCGTGCCATCGCCGACAGGTCTGCAGGAAGAAGACGTGCAGGTCACAGACTTGCGGCATCTTTTGGCGGAACGAGCCAGAAAAGGGCCACGCGTGCACCGCCTCGAAGTTAGGAGTCGAGCAACCTTTGTTTCTACTTTGTGGGCCTTCGCGGAGAGAGAGGCCCAGCAGTGGGGATGTCAGGGACATACCAGGGCGTGGGCCAGATGTCCTGGCCCATCTGGATACATAGGAAATAAAGTTCACCGTCCCCTGCCCGCCCACTTCAGGTGTCAGGAGCCCACGCTCAGAACCGTGTGTTTTTCTCTCAGAGCTAACTGCACGGTGGGAAGGAAGCAAGAGGCTGGGAGGGCAGAGTCCACACGTATTTTAAACACAACGCTAGAATTTTCCCTAGCCACATTCCTTCCATATGATTTCAGGAAGAGAATAAATAATTTCAAATGCTTAAGATATCCACCAGGGAAAAGGGAATCGTTTTTTACTTAATCTGCGTTATAATTTTCCCATTAAAATCTACCCCTATCAAGTGTGGGGGAGCACAGGGAAATAACAATTATTTTTAAAAGTTTCAACTGTTCAGTTTAAGGATAGCTCTGAAAACACAATTTAGTTTGAAATTCAAGCTGTTTCATTTCCTATTTAATCTTGTAAATTTCCTTCCCTTACAATACTCAGGTTGGAAGGGTGCCAAATTAGACCAGGAGCAAATTGTCACCAACTTCACTTCAGTGCTTTATTTTTAGATTATATTAAAAACCTCATTAGGCTCCCTGAGGGAAAGAGTGTTAACCACTAACAGAGGCAGGGGAATAAAGGAAACAGAAAGATAAGCTGAATTGTTAACAAGGAAAGCTCCCTTAAAACACTTGTCTGGGGTCGCTGTAAATGCTACAAGAAACTGATCGCCCAGACCAGGTGAAATGACGGGAACGCGGAGCTTAATCTTTCACCCCCAGGCTAGGAAGGGCTAGTCAGGCTTGTCAGAGTGGCATATGTCTTTATTGTGATTTCCAGATGGGGGGTGGAAGGGAGGGGTGCGTGGAAGGTGAGGCAGAGACATCTTTAAAGACCGAGAGCCAAGCGCTCTGTGCCCTCGCACGACACGAACGTGCTTCAGAGTCTCCCGTGGACGGGCTGAAAAGTGGGCGGGCACACGAAGACACGGGGTGCAAGATGAAATGGAGTGCTAGAGGAAACATAGAGTTTATTCATGTATTTACATAATTTATAATCTTTAAGCAATGGTCTCATAAATATAGACTACAACTTTACATATGCTGAGCAACAGAGAACTGGCTTCCCCACCGTTTACACCGCTTTGCGCTCTCTCTTCTTCCTCTTTTTAAAACCACTGCTAGTCAGTTCCAACGTATGCAGTTTGGTTCATTCCAGGCACCTTCTCCGCCACCGCCATCTTGATCGCGAGAGCGTATTTAAAAAGGTGCCAGTCATGTATTTTGTGACACGTACAGGACAAGGCCGGAATGCCAGCCTCGGGTGAGCCGTGCACCTGTTGGGACTGTATTGATTTACTGGATGCGTCACGGGCTAAAGTCTTCAAGGAAAAGTGCTTTTGAGATGGGGGGGGGGGAGTAATTTCCATCGGGCCTATAAATAACCCATTCTATCTAGCTTCATATGATAATTGCCATCCCTCCGCTTACCTCACCTACCACATCTTAAATGCTACGACTCCCCGTAGCAGCGGTAACGGGACGCCAAGGAAATTACAATCTCCACAAGGTCTTTTTTCCCTCGAGAACCACAAAAGTGCTAATTTTCCCTTTACAAATGTTACATAAAACCTTGATTACAAAACTACTCAACAGTTTGATCCTGCCATCCATACAATTACATGTTCCTTTTCCGCAAGGTCAAGTGATACAGTCCCTTCCTTTGCACAGCAGACTCTACGGGATGGAGGTCCGCAGACTGAAATGGTACTGCTGCAGTCTCCAAAGAGGAAGCGGAACTGGCCAATTTCTCTGAATCCTTTTTGCACGAAGAAGACCCTAAACCGGCGAGGCGAAACCTGCCAGCAGGGCCCCCAGCCCTCCTGTTAACTCTCTGGACCACCTACTTCATCATCACCCAGTCCGGAGGCCGAGGCTCGGTCAGCAGCAGCTTCGCTGCGGCTCGGAAGGCTGTCTCCGGAGCTTGAAGCCCTTCCCGCCAGATGGTGGGCTGGCGTCGGCGGACGGAATTCTTCGACCTAGACAGAGAGGAGAGGAGGGAAGGGAACGAGCTTTAATTTTCCAATCGGTTGGTTCCCAGACGCAACGATTGTGCACATGCAGCTTGACAGGTTTCACTAAAGTAAAAAGGATTTCACAGATTTTCAATTTTCGATTTATAGAAAAGCTGCAAAGATAATCGTAGACAGCTGTCGCACATCCTTCACCCGGGGTGTGTTAACATCTCCCATTCCCACGGACCACTTGTGACGATGAAGAATCCCATGCTGGCACATCACTAACTAAGGTTCAGACTTTTATCAGATGACCGCGGTTTTTCCACTCATGTCCTGTTTCTGTGCAGGGGTCCACACGAGGATATCAACGTTGCATTCAGCAAAACCGTTTTTAATCAGAAAGAAATTACTTGTTGACAAACGTTTTAATAAGCAGGGAACGTACGCACCCCGGTACACAAAATTCCACCATCAGAACATGCCTGTCCCTCTGCCTCGGGGCAGAGCCACCGTCCAGAGACAGGTGTGCACCCACACCTCTAGCTGTCCCCCTCCTTCGGCCCCGAGAGGGGCAGCCACGTGCGCGGTTGTCCACGTTGCTGCTTCCGCTGAACGTATTTTGGGGGCTGTTCTACCACACCACGGTTTTTCACGGCTCCGAGCTACTGCACTGCATGGAGGCACCGGAATTTATTTAACCACTCCCCTGTCAATGGATATTTAGTTTGTTTCCAACACTGTGATGGTATTAACAACAGTGTAAAGAATATCTCTGTGAACCGACGCGGAAGATAAATTAACAGGAGGGGAAGAACCGGGTCACGCTATTCTGCCCCTGGGTATTCATCTGACACCTACACCACATTCCCAGTGTCTATCTAGCACAAATGCAAGAAGGACGTGCACTTTAAATTTGGACATGGGGCGCCTGGGTGGCGCAGTCGGTTAAGCGTCCGACTTCAGCCAGGTCACGATCTCGCGGTCCGTGAGTTCGAGCCCCGCATCGGGCTCTGGGCTGATGGCTCGGAGCCTGGAGCCTGTTTCCGATTCTCTGTCTCCCTCTCTCTCTGCCCCTCCCCCGTTCATGCTCTGTCTCTCTCTGTCCCAAAAATAAATAAACGTTGAAAAAAAAAATTTAAAAAAAAATAAAATAAAATAAATTTGGACAGATGCCACCAAATTGCTCTCTGAAGAGGCTGTGCCACTTTATCCTCCTACCAACAATGCATGAGAATGAACAGGTTTCACTTTACTGCTCCGTGAAGCATAATGTCAATTTCAGGAGAAACCTTAAATCGCCATCCACCTACCCAGACGGGAACGCAAGAGTTGCGTCCGTGCACGGAGGCCTTCCTGAGGCCCTCCCACTTCCCAGATCTCTCCAACACCTCCGACCCTAAAGTCAGTCAGGAGCCAGAAGCACGTTACTTGTTTGCTTACGGAACTAGGTTTCTTGAATCAGACCCTACGCTGTGCGAGGCAAAAGGTCCTGTCTCTCCATCGTTGTTTCTGGGGTCTATTGAGCACACTACCAGGAACGGAGGTATTTTGAAAGCGTGGAATGAATGGATACGTGCATCTTTCTGCACGAACGAGGCTGAGGTGGAACCTGCCACTCTCAGGGCCTTGGTCGCCAAGCCTGGAGCCTCCAGCAGGCTGAGCGGCCCGCAAATTCAGGTGGGCAGTACACGACGTGGTGTCTACACTGGAAAGTGTCCCCCAGAGCGTCCTACAGTGACTATTCAGATGCCTGTAGACACGGCTGTGAATAAACTGCAAATTTATTTAAAAGCTTTACTGAAGCTTCTTGTTACACGTTTCCAATAAACGGATCGTGGAAATGCAGCTGGTGCTGCCATCTCTGAAACAGTCTTAGGAGAAAGCAGAGGAGAACATCTTCATGACTTGGGAACAGACCATGATCTCTTAAGTAGGAGCCAGAAGGTGCTAACCGTAAAGGGAAATAAGGATAAACCGGATTATGTGAAGGTTTATAATATAATATATTATATTAGGTATAATCGTATATCACCATATAAGGTATTACTAATATATTACATATTAATATATTATAATATATTATATCAAAAACCCCAGCTCACCAAAACATTCGCTTCACAAATGAAAGTCAAGCCACCAGTACACGTGATCAACGACAGCCTCGTATCCAAAATAAATGATAAACATAGTTAAGAAAAAGGCAGGTAGCCCAACAGGAAAACGGGCAAAGGTTCACAAAAGAGGATATCCAGATCTGTTCACATAAATGTAAATAAATATGGAGAAAGGGGCTCAACGTCATCAACTGCAGGTCGTAACTGCAGATCAAGACCCACAGAGCGGATGCGGCCACCAGCCTGAGTGTCCGCTGGTGTAACCGCTTTGGAGACCGTCTGGCAGCAAATTCCTATGGGCACCTGCACACCCCGCGACTCAGTGATCGTTCTTCTGGGTCCTAACAGACCTGACAAACAAGCGTGCACAGAGGGTGCACCCTGGACACGGAGCGGAATGCTCACGGTACCACCGGCAATAGCTCCGAGCTGCAAACATCTACTCAAACCCCCATCAACAGAACGGGTGACTACACCGTGGATGTCACCCCCTTCTCCACACGCACACACTCTACGGTAACGAGAGCGAGTCCGGTG